AGAATATGCATGGCGTAATACTATGAATCCTGTTTTTATTAATTTAAAAATTATTTAAAATTTTTATCTTGTGATTCAAATTTATTTGATAAATGAATTGCACACTATATAAATTAATCTCTATCATACAATCATCCATCAAATTTTTTTTGGATGGATTAATCTCGGTCTATAACTTTTCTCATATGCATGAGAACTTTCAGGCAAGTGCCCATCAACTCATAAATTTTACGGTTGTGCTACGTGTATAAAATATTTCAAACATATATATAGATGTTTGAGATAAAAAAATATTAACATCTATAATTACAAATATATATGTCATATATGTATATTCTGTATTCAAAACTTTCTGTGCACTTAGACTTCTTTAAAATCTTAGCATCAAAACCTTGTATTTGTGTAAAGTTGTGTTTGCACAGCTCATTTTTCCTTCCCTTGTGACTAATGTATATTATTTTTAAGTTTGAAGATCTATTGGTTTTTTAGTCGGTTATTTTGTAAGTTCTTGTGTAATAAATTTTTACTCATAAAAAATGAGCTCCATAGTCTTGTGGTGGGCACAATAGATCTCGACAATATTGTTAAGTCTACATTTAAAAAAATATTCAATTTACATTATTATTGACACATAGTGCCACTAGCTAAAAATAAACTATGAAATGTATATGTGGCAGTTTCATATACTACACTGAATTTTTACTCCTAGATTTGGATTAAAGAGAATCCTTCTTCTTGGGATAATTTAACAAAAATCTCATCCCACTATTGGGATCTGGAATCCCGTCCAAGACCTTATAGAAATCATACCAAGCAAAAAAAAACACACACACAGAAGGAGACACCATATTTAACGTGGTTCGGCCTTAAAGCCTACGTCCACGGGAGAGTAACCGGTTATCACTATAACAATGGAGAGATTACAGAAAGATTACAATAGAGGAGGAGCTCACACTATCCTCACTCAGCCACTCTCCCGTCTCCCTCACTCACACCGAGAGAGACGGTCTCTCCGCCTCATATCTCTCACTCTCTTTGGTTTGCTCGGTTTGCTCTATCTCTCACTGTCTACTCTTCCCTCAACCTCTATTTATACATATCATGAGGAAGAAGAAAGTTGGGACAGCAAGGTGAGTGGGGCAGCTACCACCCCCACCTCTCTCTAGTGGGTTCTCCATTGAACTCCCACTTCTCTCTAGTGGGTTCTCCATTGAACCACCACTTCTCTCCAAGCGGGTTCTTCAAGTGGCGCATTATTACCCCCTCAACCCATGTGAGGTGATCCACTACACATACCGTTGCTAGTCTTGTCACGCTCGGTCACGCCCAAAAAACCAATAGAATCTTCATCTCCTCACTGAGATGCTGCATCCCCTGAAGCTAGAGATAATACACCAGAGATACAAGAGAATGAGGGAATCCTACATCCTCAACTCAACTCATACCGCTCTCTGATTTGGAGAGAGCCTCTGCTCCTATCTCCCACAGATCTCTTCCACGCTTCCTGTCTCAGATGTCTTTACCTGCTATTCTTGAACTTGCGTAACCAAGATATCCGACACCCCCCTGATTAGATGTCTTGCACCCCCTGCTGGGATGCCATTGACTGTCATGCATTACCTCGCAGGACCAATCATTGGAGCAATAGAAAACTCGTTGTTTATCCCATCAACATCCTCTGTCTTCTTTGCTCGAAGCTTTTCCCCTGAACTATCAGCCTTTGCCCTTTGCACTTTTGAACAACCTCCTAGCGTTTCCACATACGTTTGTTGTCTGTACCTTTGCAATCCCTGATTTGCTGTCCAGTAGATTGATGGTTGACAGTAGCTCCATCTGTCAAAGCATCGTCAGCTATGCAATTCCTTGCATAGTGCTCGCACCCATGGCTTCTGGTCTCCCTGCGTCGAGCTCGCTTGAGAGATCTGCATCAACTCTATCCTCCGCTGCCATGGAACTAAAGAAACCACCATAGAGAAAAAAAAAAAGACTTGCCACTCCTTGGCGCACACTCTTGCGTTTTATCCATCTCAATTTTTCTGTCTTGAAGTTCTTGTGAACTTTTAACAACCCATTGCTACACACTCTTCTTACGCTTCTGTACGATACTCTAGCGTACCCTTGCACTGCTGCACGTCTGCATTTGTGCTTCTACGCTTAGTATGCTCCACTGCAACTATTGTTCTACATGTCCACATACCATCAGTACCTACTCATATACAGTAGCTCCAATAGCCATAACATTTCCTTGAGCCTGTACTTGTTGCCAAATCATCTATCCGTCGATGAATGGACTTTTTGATTGAACCACATCTTTCGATCAACTTCGGAGATAATCATCTCTACAATCCTATGATCGCCCCTGACCAATCCTGATCTCCCTTGATTTGCTATTTGATCAAGCTAATCTCCTTTGGTCTTTAATGATCTATCTTGATCTGTATCTGGTTATCCAATCTGGTTAGAATCTGTCCATTCTAACCTCTTCGGTGAATCCGCAGCGTTCCACAATATTCGGCAATCTTCCTTCGACTATTGAAGATGACAAACTCCCATGTTTTGAAAATCTTTAAAAATCGTTCAGAATTTCACTATTCTAACCTCGCAGTTGCATCCGGAATGGTCCGTTTAGCTAGGACAAACCTTCGCTGCACTTCCGGGGACCTCACTAAAAAACATCCCCGAAAGTTGGTCCACACCACAATTTTCTGAAAATTCTGGGCCAAATTGCAATTTTCAGAAGTTCAAAGAATATTCCGCGTTCTAACAGAATATTCCGCCCACTACACCTAATGTCGTCTGTCACTTTAATCTTCTTTTTACAAAAAAACTCCGATTCAAAAATCTGACCGTACGGATGTGTCCGGAATACTCTAAATAATTGAAAAACACTATTGAATCGTCAGAAATGGACTCCGAATGGCTTAGATCAAGCCAAAACATTTTGGACGCCTCAGATCTGCGACTACACCTTAGCCGCGAAGCACTGGATCCTTTCTCGTGCGGCTGCACCTCAGTCGCACACCACTGGATCGCTCCTCCGTATGCTGACGTGACAGATGACGCAGCGCTGACTAGTCTGCCACGTGGCGCTGACTGGTCTGCCACATGGTGCTGACTGGCCTGATAACGTGGTAGACACGTGGCCCACCCCTGATTGACGTGGTGCCACGTGGCGCTGACGTGTCGCCACACAACTCGTCCTCTTCCTTCACCGCGCGTGTGGCGCGTGGCCGCGACTGGGATGACGCGCCAATGCCGTTAACGGTGCGTGCGGTGCGTGGTTGAGAGTGGGACTCACGCGCCATCTTCAGGTGGCGCGTGAGGGCTCTTCCAATGTTCTCTGGGGCTCTGCTTTGCATTTTTGGACTCCTCTCGTCGAGACCTTGCTTCTGGTATGCTCAAAACCTGATTTCGAGCAATTTGATTTCTGGACAGTTTCGAAAAACACTCTGTTTTTGTTCTGAAACGTCACAGACGAGGCTCTGATACCACTTGTTGATTGAACTACTTGTTGGGATCGGGGATCCCGCTTAAGACCTTCCAAAAATCATACCAAGCAGTAAAACACACCCACATTCAATGAGACACCATATTTAACTTGGTTCGGCCTCAATGCTTACGTCCACGGAAAAGTAACCGGTTATCACTATAACAATGGAGAGATTACAAAAAGATTACAATAGATGAGGAGCTCACACTATCCTCACTTAGCCACTCTCCCGTCTCCTTCGCTCACACCGAGAAAGACAGTCTCTCCACCTCACATCTCTCACTCTCTTTGGTTTGCTCGATTTGCTCTATCTTTCACTGTCTACTCTCCCCTCAACCTCTATTTATACATATCATGAGGAAGAAGAAAGTTGGGACAGCAAAGTGCGTGGGGCGGCTGCCACCCCCACGTCTCTCTGGTGGGTTCTCCATTGAACCACCACTTCTCTCCAAGCGGGTTCTTCAAGTGGCGCATTATCACCCCCTCAACATCGGGTGACATATCCAACACACCCTTCCAACTGGTCAATCTCAGAACAGCTTTCAAGTCTAGATAAAGAGAGAGTGAACTTGAGTATTGGTCCACGGTGAAGTAGCAAAACTTGATAAATAGTCATCATAAGTTTATTCTTCTGTTTTCTGATTGATTCTCTGCAGAACATATCATCAAATACAAGTTGGGGAAGTTTCACCCACATATACCTCCATTTCCTTGACAAAACACTAGTCCTCAGCGCATCTTGTAATGGCAAACACATCAAGAATTTTTCTTTTACATTGACTGGAAGATGACTGATTCTGTTTGCAGTTGAGCCAAACATTTTATTCATGTTTCTAGCTATTCTGTCAATTTGCTGTTAACTCACCAGGATAGTGGGTTTTATTCCATTTCCTGGAACAAAATAAGAAAAGAATATCAGCTGTAAAAAGAAACAACGTAAAACATTAAAGTATCAACTCCACAGGGTAGTGGTTTTTGTTTTTGTTTAAATGCATTATATTTAGGACTAGTTTTTGTTTCTATCAATAATGGTGTTTTTGGCAATAGATAATATTGTAATTAAATTTATTTAAAGGAATCCATGCTGTCTTCAAAAGAACACAAACAAAAAATTGGAACGACATTGAAAGTTCTGAGAGATTTTGACTAGTGGTTTTCAGGATTCAAATTCAATTAGGATTGTGAAATGGAACCAACTACAAGTGTTCTGTTTGGCTAACCAAAAAACCTGAATTGGACCGTTCTGAAAACACTCAAAAATCTACAAACTGTACCAACTATTTGAGTAATTATAATTAATACTAAAAATTATAATTAATATTTAAATATAAAAAGCTTCACTTTTAAATTTTGCCACCAAAAGGGTTGGGCCGCCACTGAAATTAATGCACAGTTGTAAGTGGCACTTAAATTCAGCCACAAACAACATAATTGTACCATCTCTTACCAAAAATATGAACGAAATTTCATAATTTTAAATGTTGAAGAAGATGCATTTTTCCAAAATAGAGAACATTATGTTTTTATCTAGAGATATTCCACTTTCCCTCAGTGAATCTCATTAGCAGCTGTTAAGACTTAGCAGGCAGACAATGAATACCAAAAAGATCATCTCACTATCAAAGCTAGTAAAAAAAGGATACAAACCATTTGCTAAACTTCATCTTCAGAGGTTTCATCTTCAGAGAGACCTCCATCTGAATCATTGTATGTGATTTCTGCTTTAGGTGATGAGTGCGGAAATCTTGTCAACTCTTTCAAAATCCTCAATCCTTTGTCAGCAACTTCTTACCAGTCAGGTTCAATAAGCATTGTCTCCAGCATTGAGGATTTGGCTAATAGAAGCTTAATAAACTCCAATTCAGACCTTGTTCGAGATATATTATACATATGCACCCTTCGAAGTTGATTTAAAGAGATATCCGACCACTCTTGTGCATATAAAAGCTCTAGAACAGGATCATCAATGACCATAGGTTCAAGGACACATGCCTGGAAAGAAAACAAGAATTATCCCAGCCCAAAGATTCAAAATATAAATTAAAAACATAAAAAATAAAATAATGTTATTACTTAACCTGAATTATTAGTTTTGCCAAATTTGGGGAGCTTTTGATTAAGCAAAGAACAAAAGAGACCTCATCTAGTTCCCGAAAACAAATACCAGACAACACAGGATATATAAGGTGGTTCAGAGTAATTGGAAGCCTCTTTGGTACACCGCCAATAGCCAAGTTCTAAAGAAAGAAAGAAAAAAATCAAAGAAACATCAGTTACTTAAGCCAAACCCCAGGCCAAAAAATAAAACAAAGTTTACTAAGCTAATCTTACCTTAACATAATAATAGTCTATTTCCAAATACTGGATGACAGGTAGACTATCAAAAAGCATGACCATATTAGATGTTTCTCCTTAAATGATATCTTATTCTCATTCCTGTCCACTTCCAAAGTGATTGAAATTATGAAAAGAAGAGAGGTATTTTTGAAACAAATAGAACAGACATGGCTCTGGCAGCTTAAGAATATAAGTTTAGGAGCATCAATTTCAAGGCAATCTACACTGGAGCAGCTTTCAACTGTCAGATATTCAAGTAGTGGGCAACTGGAGATTAAACTTGAAAATACATTAGCAGTAACGACAATTTTGCAAACCTCCAGGTAAAAGAGATTGCTAAAACCTTTGAATTCAGGTGAAGGCTTAAACATACAAGAACAAAGAGCCAAATTCTCAAGTTGCGGACGTGAAAACAGTGATGATGGCAATTTATAAGGTTCACCCTTCCAACTGGACAATCTCAGAACAGCCTTTAAGTCCAGATAAAGAGAGAGTGAACTTGAGTATTGGTCCACGATGAAGTAGCAGAACTTGATAAATAGTCATCATAAGTTTATTCTTCTGTTTTCTGATTGATTCTCTGCAGAACATATCATCAAATACAAGTTGGGGAAGTTTCACCCACATATACCTCCATTTCCTTGACAAAACACTAGTCCTCGGCGCATCTTGTAATGGCAAACACATCAAGATTTTTTCCGCTGGAAGATGACTGATTCTGTTTGCAGTTGAGCCAAACATTTTATTCCTGTTTCTAGCTATTCTCTCAATTTGCTGTTAACTCACCAGGATAGGGGGTTTTATTCCATTTCCTGGAACAAAATAAGAAAGGAATATCAGCTGTAAAAAGCAACAACGTAAAACATTAAAGTATCAACTCCGCAGGGTAGTGGTTTTTGTTTATGTTTAAATGCATTATATTTAGGACTTGTTTTTGTTTCTATCAATAATGGTGTTTTTGGCAATAGATAATATTCTAATTAAATTTATTTAAAGGAATCCATGCTGTCTTCAAAAGAACACAAACAAAAAATTGGAAAGACATTGAAAGTTCTCAGAGATTTTGACTAATGGTTTTCAGGATTCAAATTCAAATTCAACATTATTAGGATTGTGAAATGGAACCAACTACAAGTGTTCTGTTTGGCTAACCAAAAAACCTGAATTGGACCGTTCTGAAAACACTCAAAAATCTACAAACTGTACCAACTATTTGAGTAATTATAATTAATACTAAAAATTATAATTAATATTTAAATATAAAAAGCTTCACTTTTAAATTTTGCCACCAAAAGGGTTGGGCCGCCACTGCAAAGAAGGTGGTGGGTAGTGGCCAGAGATGGCTATGGCTGTGGTGAAACTACCATAATATCCCTAAATTTGAATTTTTCAAACAATTTCTCAATTTTATGTAAAATAAACAAGTTAGGGGTTTCTTTTGTACATAATTTAATGAATTCCCATGTAATTACTTAATATTCAAACACGAAAAAACTATTTACCCGGCCCGGAGAGCCCATATCTCAATTATCAAACTAGAATAAAAAGCCATTCATGTGCACCAAGGATAAAGTTGATTGCATAGGAAAACAAATTAATCAGGGGCTAAAATAGAATAAATTAAATAGTTCTAGACCTCCAATATACCAAATAATAATTCATAGGTGGTGTCAGCGAGTAATGGGGAAATAGTGGTGATGGTGTGGTGGTGGAGGTGGGATCAGTAAGATTTTTATCTAAAAAATATTGACTTCTTAAAAGTAAAAAATAATTTTCATTCAAATAGATTTATTTTTCGTTGACTTTTGTTTTAAAAGATTTACCCAAACGAACTAAAATGAAAGATTGATCTTCTTCATCTGAATTTTTGTGTGTGATTTGTGTTGATGTGATAAGATTGTGCTAACTCTTTCAAAATCCTCAGTCCTTTGTGAAAAATCTTCATCTGGAATTTTGTACTTAGTTCTTTTGTTTCTCATGATTATCTCTGCTACACACAATTACTCACTGCCAAGTTCCATTGTTAAAGGAGGCACTTATTGAGAGTCACAAACAACATCATTGTGACCATCTCTTACCAAATACATATCAACCAAATTTCAAAAATTTTACATGTTGATTAAACTTCATTTTTCCAAAAGAAAGAGCATTGTATGTCTGTAGATGTTCCACTTTCACACATAGAAGTTGTAGCTTTAACTTAGAGCTAGCAGACAACCAAAACCAAAAATATCATCTCACTCAAATGAAAGCTCATCAAAAGACACAAACCACCAGCTAAACTTCATCTTCAGAGTCTTCATCTGGATCATAGTATGTGATTTGTGCTTGAGGTGATAACCGCTGAAATCGTGTCAACTTTTTCAAAATCCTCAATCCTTTGTCAAGAACCACCTCTGAGTTAGGCTCAATAAGCATTCTCTCCAGCATGGGAGATTTGGCTAATAGAAGCTTAATAAGGTCCAATTCAGACCTTATGCCAGATAGATTTCGCATCTCCACTTCTCGAAGTTGATTTAAATAGACACCCCACCCATCTTGCATTTCTAAAAGTACTAAAAGTTCTAGAACAGGATCAATAGCAGTAGTTTCACGGGTACATGCCTGAAAAGAAGAAAATAAAATTGTCTCAGCCTAAAGGTTCAAAATATACATTATATATAAACGTAGGTAATAATAAAATATGTTATTAACTAAGAAGTACGGACACAGATACAGACACGCGGATACGCAAATGTAAGACACGACACATTGGGGACACTTGCAAAACATATAATTTGTATATATTTATTTTATGTCATATTTTTTAATATTTAATATTTATTTTATGTCAAATTTATCAATTTTTTTTTTATCAGAAATTTATCAACCTCAAATATGCTATTTTAGTAAAAAATAAAATTAAATTAATCCTGATCATGTCTCCAACGTGTCCTCAGCGTGAGCGTATCCAACTTGTCCCCCATGTTTCCTAACGTGTCCGTAGCATGTCCTAGGTGTCCGAGACTCTCTAGTGTGTCCGACACGTGTCCGTGTCCGACATGTGTCCGGCACATGTCCGTGTCCGACACGTGTCGAACACCTGTACGTCACCTCTGGAGAGGTTGTCCGTGCTTCATAGGTCATTACTTACCTCAATTTTAATTTTTGCCAAATTTGGGGAGCTTCTGATTAAGCAAAGAACAATAGAGACCTCATTAGGTTCCCCAAAACAAATATCATTCAACTCTAGAATTTTCAGGTGGCTCAAAGTAGTTGGAAGCGTCTTTGGTACTTTGCCTGCAGCCATGCCCTAGAACCAAAAGACAAAAATAAATAAATAATTATTAAATAAATAAATAATCATGGTTTACTAAGCTCGTCTTACCATGACATAATAACCGTTCAATTCCAGAAACTCAACAACAGGTAGACTACCAAAAAACATGACCGAGTTAGATGATTCTCCTTCCATTAATACTTCCTTGTTCAAATAAATTGAAACTCTGGCAAGTTGAGGAGTATTTTTGAAACAAATGGAACTGAAAAGGCCTTTACAGCGTAAGAATCTAAGGTTAGGAGCAGCAATTTCAAGGGGTTCAAAACTGGTGGAGCTTTCAACAGTCAGACGTTCAAGTAGTAGGCAACTGGAGATTAAACTTGACAATATGTCAGCAGTAATGACGACTTCACGAAGCTCCAGGCTAAGAAGCCTGCTAAATCCCTTAAATTCAGGTGGAGGCTTAAACATGCAAGAATGGAGATTCAAATGCTTAAGTTGTAGACATGAAAACAGTGATGATGGCAATTTATAAGTACCCGTCCAAATGCGAAGGGTGAATTCCTGGGTACCATTCTTTGATGCAAAATATATCAACTGGTCGATCTCAGAACAGCTTTCCAGTTTAGGTAAAGAGAGGGTGAACTTGAGTATCGGTCCATGGTGAAGTAACAGAACTTGATAAATAATCATCACAAGCTCATTCTTGGTTTTCCAAAATGAATTTTTGTAGAATGTATAATCAAATACAAGTTGGGGAAGTTTCACCCAGATATACCTCCATTTCCTTGACAAAACACTAGTCCTCACCGCATCCTGTATTGGCAAACACATTAAGATTGTTTCTTTTACATTGTCTGGAAGATGACTGATTATGTCTGAAGTTAAGCCACACCCGTCCTTCATGTTGCTAACTATTATAACAATCGGCAAAGGTAACCAAATCAAAGTATCAAGCAGCCCAAGTAGTGGTTTTTATTACATATCCTGGCACAGAATAAAAGAACAATAAGGAATAGCTATCATAACATTCTATTAATCCAAATTGCAATTGTACAGAGACACAAAAAGAGCAAGTCATTGGTTCAGTGGTTAAAAATCAGTCCATCAATCTTGAGATCGTGTGTTCGAATCTGAGTGTAATTATTACTTTGTTTAAATAAGGTAATTCTATTTGCACACCACCATTTCTCTTAAGTTCACGCCATGGCCTAATTTTTTTTAATTACCATTGTGTACCTCCACTAAATTACCTTTTTGGACAAATCTCTAAAATTCAATCTCTCAATACACAGCATCAGCCACTGCCCTCGCCATGAACTGCAACCCCCACCTCCGCCCCACCACCACCCCCTTCCCAGCCCCATCACTGCCCCACTACCCTGCGACCACTATTATTGCAGCGACCACCCTCGAGAACCCACCACCACCACCATCTTCACAGCTCCTACTTCCAGCGACCCATCATCCGCAGCAACGAGGGGGCAATGGGGCCGGAGAGGAAGTTGGGAGCAGAACAAGGCTCGGGAGGGGGTCATGAAGGGGCTGGGGAGGGAAAGGGTGTTAGGGTTAGGGTTAGGGTTTAAGAATGGAGAAGATGAGAGTATTTTGGTATTATTTGAAAACAGATGGTGTGTATTGAGAAAAAATCAAAAAATTCAAATTGAATGTGAACTGAGAGAATGATATGTATTGGGATAATAATGACAAAGGTTAAGTCTGTATGCAATCTATCCTCCCAGACCCATCAAATTTGGACTAAATTGGACCTACTTTAAAAATAAAAAACAAAAACAGAAAAAGAAGCTAGATCAAACATCCAGAGCAAGATTTCCCATAATATATCAACAGAAATACTTTAAAAAGGTGTCGATAAAAGGGGGTGCTGATCATCAATGTGTGTGCCTAAATCATTTTCTTTAAATTAGGGTTTTAAACTTTCTTACAGAGTGGCATTAAAGTAACATTACAGAAACTAATTAAACACCATAACTGAGTTCTTGAATGAAACAAGATCAGATTTCAATCATCATACAAAGAAAATAACATAATTCTTGCCAAAAATAAAAAAAGAAGTGAAAAATCAAAGGGAAATACTTTTGCTCACTTACTTGGGTTGGGTCTCTTCAACCTCCTATCCTGTGTTACTTCCAAATTCTGTTGTTACAAAAGAAACAAGAAAAAAGATAGAGCTTTTCGGAAAGAAAGAGAGAGAGGGGAGACCTCTGCCAGCAAGTCTCCCATTGAAATGACCATTAATTATTTTAAAAATAGTATATGTATATTCTATTTTCTACTCCGACATTTTAATATTTCACTCATTATATGCTTGCAATAGACATAGTGTTTGGATTTAAATTTATAAGAAAAAATGAATAAAACAAAAATTATATTTTTTTTCCAATTTTTTTTTCTTTGGTCTTTTCCCTTTGGGCATCCAAAAATCTAAACACGACAATTGTCTAAATGAATAAAACATTGAGGGATTAAAAGAAGAAATATTATTTGGGGTTACACATGGTTATTGATTTTATTTTGTATAACTTATTATTAGTTAAAATTTAATAATTAAAAAATAAAATTTAAATATATTATTTTTGTAACTTTTAAATAATTAATTTTTTTAATTAAAATTATTTTTTAATAACTTATAAATAAAAATTATACCAAACATTTTGACATATTCTCAAACTAAAATAAATTAGGGGAGATGCTTCTTTCCGGTCCTACAATGGATTGGAGCGTGTTGTTGAGTCAGTGGGGCTTACTATAGGTCTCGTTTTGATAATTTAAACCGTTCAATGCATATAGTTCGTCGAGTATTTTATATTTGCAAAAAATCACTTTAATCTGATATCGGTAGTCCATTGATCAGAACATATTTTGTTAACAATTTATTTTTTAAATTATATTTACTATTGATAAAAATATATTCTGATCAAAGGGTTACTAATATCCGATCAACGTAATTTTTTACAGACATAAAATATTCGATGAACTCTATATATTAATAATTCAGATCATTAAAATAAGATCTGTAATAAACCTTACAAATCTAACAATAACGCTTCAATCTATATGGACTAGAGAGAAATCACACCCATAAACTATAGGGCCGTGATTCATACCCCAGTGGGGGTCAACCCCTAATGACGTGGCGGGCTCTTATTCGCTGAAAAAAAAAAATAGTATTTTTTTTGACTCAATCAGTGGGCTACACAGCTGGGGTCTTAGGCATTTTCCATAAACTATAATCAATTTTTTAAATTGCAGGGCCATTGAGCCAAGTGGCAAGCACAATCATTGATGGTTGTTCCTTTATAATATTTTATAAATTAATAAAATATTATCAATTTTGACCAAATAAAATAAGTGTAATATTATGTTTATCATTATCTTTAATTATTTATATTCATCATTGTGACACACTTTATATATATAATTTATTTATTTATATTTATTATTTAACATGACAGAGTTCGGTATCATTTATATAGATACATATATATTGGAGCAATTTCAGAATTTAGTAAAAAGTCAATTTTTTAATTTTTTAACAAGTTTTTCCAAAAAAGTTATTAAAAAAGTCAGTTTTTTTGGAAAAGTCAAAAAATTAATTTTTTACCAACTTTTCAAAACACCCCATTAGATGAGTGGTAGAGGGAGTGAATGCCCAGGAGATCACGTGCCTTCTTTGGATTTTGAGATTATTTTTTTTTTTAAATTTTACAAACATAAAGAAAATATTTTGAATAAAAAAATTATAAAAATATTATTAGAGTGAAATGTCTTAAAAATTATGAGAACAATAATAGTTATTTTAATTGAAAATGAAAAGATTATTATAAATCATATTAGCTATGAAAATTTTTTAATGTAACGTTGATGTCATTATTATTGACATGCAAATATAAATAATCTCACTATAAAAATATGAAATTTATTAGATTGTTAGTTACATTTGACATGTGAGGTTCACTCTCTGTGTTTATGTACTATTACTTGGTGATATCACATATCAATTGAGAGGGTAATTTTTGTAAAAATTGGGCCGAGCTGGGTAATGGGCCGTTATGAGCCACAGTACAAAGGGCCGAGTAAAAGGGCCACGTAAGTCACTCCGGTCGTATGAATATTCCGAAATTAGTCCGGTCCTAAGACTGCGAAGCTGGTCCGGTCCGACCATTAGATCGGTCTAACGGTACCTTTGAGTTAGACCGGTCTTGGAGTTACACCGGTCATGACTTGTTAGTTCGGTCTAATCACGCCATGGTTTGTACATGAGAGAACCGAGATAAGGTGCGGTGAAAGGAAGAACCGAATAAAGGATAGTTCGACTTAGTCTACGACTGTGCATAGTCATGTTTACTTCGGTCGTATTGGAGTTCGGCCATGATAAAATCATCTCACTTGGTTTAAGCAGTGAGGGGGGTGTTAAAGGATAAACATTATCTTTCAGGAGTATGAATCCTAGGAGGACTCTGCATGGAGGAGTAGAAGTCCTACTAGGATTATGCCACACGAAACTTATAAAAGCTCACAAACATCACTTTTGGAGAGGTAACACAATTTTGCTTTCTGAATACACAGAGCTTTGTCCATTTGTCAAGCTTGCTGACTTAGGCATCGGAGAGGTTTCCGGCACACACCCGCCGGCTAGCTCACGTTTGTGTTTTCAGGTGATAAAGCGACAACGTATAGAGGAGAGTAGACTTGGTCAACAGGATTATACGAGAAGGTTTATTTCTTTCCCGTTCAATTGGCGCCGTCTGTGGGAATTGCAGACAGAACAAAACCTCTTGACTAAAGCTTCTCCTCTTTACAAACAATGGCGCACATTAAAGAATTGCCACATTCTGCCATCGATGGGCAAACTCCAGATGGGGGCACAAGGCGCGAAGGACTACCTTCTATCCCTCCCGTGGCGGACTTAGAGCCCCAACGACATAACTCCATGAGGGATGCTAGGGGGAGGCGGACTAATAGCCCTCGTCACTCTCGTTCCCAAAGTCTTGACAGGCAAAGGCGGAGGATTGATCCTCAAGCTCTGGAAGACTGCGTGAAAGAGCAAGATGAATTAATAAGGAAGATGGCGGCGGACATGGTGGCCTTGAAGCGCCAGATGAAGAGAAAAGAAGTGGCGACAGGAGAGGGGCGCAAAAACAAGACGCCCCATCGCCACTCAGAAAATCGTAGTAGGAATACCACACCCTCGCAAGGAGAGAGCAGAAGCCTTAGGACAGGTGATACTCAATCCTGGTCTTCCAGAACTCGTCACTCCAGGTCTGAGAGGACGAGATCTGAAAGATCATACACTGAAGAAAGCACGTATTGGCTCTCACATTCGCACCAAACCAGATCTAGACAGACGGAGTTACCCAGATCATCTGACTTACGAACCGTGCTCGAAGAAAAGGCACGATACAAGGAGGACGCCAGGTCACGGGATCCACACAGAGTTTCTGCCTTACAGCAGTTGGCTCCTCGGACGCATGAAAGCATCGAGGTTGGAATGCCAATACCACGCCTTGCCTACGAACCAACGGACAAAGCATTAGCAAGGCTACAGACTTCGCCGTTTGTTCCGGCGATTGAAAACGCGCCCCTACCATCAGGCTTCCTTCAGCCCAAATTCACTACATATGAAGGGAAGACGGATCCCTACTCGCACTTGAGCCACTTTCACCAGGTCATGGCTGTATACAGGCGAAACGAGGCCTTAATGTGCATACTCTTCCCATCCAGCCTTGGCGACCTAGGCTTGACTTGGTTCGAGAAACTTCCAGAGGGCAGCATAGCCTCTTGGGCGCAATTGGCAGAGGCGTTCATAACAAGGTTCCGAACAAACACTAAACCCCGGTGGAAATCGACCAGCTACTCTCCATCGACATGGGCGATAAAGAGACCCTTAGATCCTACAATAGTTGCTACTGGGAGACATTCAATCAAATTGGGGACTGCCCCACCAATCTCACCATTGCACAGTATAAAAGAGGCCTTCCAGTCGAGAACAGACTAAGGGACTCGATCACCATGACGCCACCCCTCACCATGGAAGCCCTGAAGAGAGTGCATCAGCACATCAGGGTAGAAGAGGATGGCGCACGTGCCAAAGCAAAATCTAGTGCAATCACAGTACCAGAAAAGAAGACCTCAGCAAAGGTCAACACGGTAGATCGACCGAACAGAAACGGACGTGGCAGACGAGATAACGGAGAAGACCCGGATAAAAGATGGTTGAGAATCCGCACTGCCATAACCACGGTGTTCAAAAAACCGATATATCGAATTCTGAGCGAAATAAGAGATGAGTCTTTCGTCAAATGGCCAGCCAAGCTGGGAGAAGTACAGAAAGACTACGACGAAAGATCGCGGTGCACCTTCCATAAAGAAAAGGGGCACCGCACTGAGAATTGCACACCATTGAGACAGCACCTGGAGGAGTTAGTGGCGGCAGGTCACTTGGATAAATACATTGAAGGAGGGACACAATCAGCCCCCCAGGACCATAATAACCCCAATGGGATGCCAATCGACGCCCCGCCTCAAGGCATTATCAATGTGATACATGGAGTTTTTGAACCTGAGCGTGTATGCGAGCCCAGGGGATCAATCAAAAAGGCTGAGCACTTTAGAGAGGTGCTAAGTGCCCAACCTGTCATCAAAAAGGAGAAGACAGAGGCAACAAACGTCATGTCTTTTTCGGATAAAGACTTGGAACGAATTTACTGCCCTCACAATGATGCCCTGGTCGTCACTCTCCGAGTCAAGGATTTTGACGTCAAGCGGATTCTGATTGACCAGGTAGTTCATGTGAAATCATGTACTACGAAACATTTAAACAACTGAAGCTACAAGACAAAGACTTGGCGCCTGCTGTATCTCCCCTAATTGATTCAACTCCATGCCAGAATGGCCCGTCGTAAAATAATTCTTCCAGTCAAGAGTAGGAAGCGTGGAAACAAGTGAGTTCTGGGTATTGAAGTCCCCTCCACTTACAACATCATCTTGGGCAGAACATGGCTGCATGCCATGCGATCAGTGGCGTATCCTACACCAAGTAATGCGGTTCCCCAACGATCCGGGGTAATTGAAGAAGTCTATGGAGATCAGATCATGTCAAAACAATGCTTCGTCACGGTAACGGGCAGCCGCCTGCCAAAGGATACGTTCATTATGGTGGAAGAACCTGAGAGCAATGACTATTCGCAGATGTCCGGCAAAACGGCTGATCAGAAGGCAGTGGAGGACTTGGTAG